GGCACTTCTGTGCAGCGATGGGTTGCCAGGACTGGTCCAGCTTACTATTTCTAAGGCAAGTAGGAAATTCATGTTCTTTTGCTAATCCCAGTTTTCCTGAGAGCAACTGTGTTTTCATCGGGTACAGTGGGTAAATCAATTAAAACACTTTATCAGGTTATTTCTACAAAAGCTGCTCTCCACACTCACAAGATGATTGATGGAAGAGTGACTCTTGCCTCCAGGGAACGGTGATTAAGGAGTGACCTTATTAAGCTATTTCACGCAGCTGAGAATTAGATAGCTCTGCTCAAAGAGGCAAAGTAAAATTCATTACTTTTGTTTAAAAATTCTGTGCCAACTTTGAGATCTGTGATGACCCTGAGCATGGTCCGTGCACTCAGCTAGTTACTGGGAAACTGGGAAATTTTACAGGGCATGATCTGTAGGAGGGAAGACTCCTCGCTGGCAGCGTTTCTGGGATCTGACGGCCCTGCTGGATCTGAGTCCAGGGAGTCAAACCCCAGAGCTAACTGCTGGAGTTCGTACACATTAGATCAGCATTATCTGTAATCCCTGTATTTGCTGAACTAAGGATGGAGACCAGTGAAGACAATCAGTGCTGTAATTCACATTTATTTTACAAAATTAAGCTAAAACTTTCTCCTTGTAGTAAGAAAGCCCCAAGGTCTGCGTATACTCATGGGTTCATTTTAGCCTTTATCTGAACCATAGCCATTATCTCAGTGGTGGGAAACACATAAACTCAAGGCTTTTGCTCCGACTGTTTAAGATAGCTACACGAATAGCCTTGAAGGTATGGGAACGAAGTTAACCAAATATCCCTAGGCAGGTCGCACGGTTTCAGGAATAAAAGCCACAGGTGAGGCGTGCAGGGAAGCACAGCACCAGCAAGGGATGTTCACAGCCAGACATCGAATCTGCTGAGAGCAGCACAGGGGGAAAACTGCCCCACGCCTTTGCTTCAAGATCATCCCCTCTGCGGTCAAGGAGGGATGGTCCAGAGCTTGTGAGCCTCTCAGGGCTGAGCAAAGGCCGCCCTACAGCTCAGCTGAGCCTTGACTGCGCAGAGGCAGCTCTGCAAGAGGCTGCTCTGCTGCTGTGACCACGCTGGATGGGGTTTCAGCAGCTCTGGGCTCCCTCCGCTTCCAGCTCTGTATTGATTTCAGTAGCAACAACCTAGAGGGAGCAGAACAGACTGTGCTTCATAGATGGAATGGAATTGTTTTAAACTTTTTAAACAAGTTGGCTGTCTTCCTGGACTCTTAAATTAAAGGGCAATTAAGTCACTTTGAGTCTGGAAAGAGCTGATGGCTGTTTCCTGATTTGACTCTTTAAAATTTTGCCAGGGTGATTAATGCAATGAAAAATTGTCAACTCTCAAATCAGGGCTGTCAGCCAACACTCAGAGCATTTATCTAAAGCACAAGCTCAGACTCTTTTTGCCTGTGGACAGGAGGCAATGGGATAAAATG